ATGTTTCGCCGGATGCAATTAGCAGAGCAAGCTGCCCTCAAGCAAGCTCGCAACCCTCTGCAGAAGACATTGATCTTTCATGCTAGGGCAGTAGCTCTGCAGGATTGGGGCCGCAAAATCACTTCCTTAAATGTTTTGTTCATGACTATTTTTGACAGAATTTTTCAAGTTGGCAAATATTGAGCTGGAGAGTGAACATGGTCCCCAAGCATGTACTGAAGCCATTAACGAAAGGGAATCCAAAAGTTGGCAGGCAGTTTCTCCAGATGCCACCTACAAGGATTGCTTCCTGCAAGCATGTGATGAGTACAATTCCTTCGGGACTGCAGCCAGCAACAAGAAGATCCAGATAGAAAAGACCTTGGCCTTGAAGCTATATGGTCTGAAGGCTGGGCCTGCTTGTTTGCCTAGGGTTTATAGATTTTGTCTCACCTCCTCCTCATCCTTCTCCTTCTCTTCTCCTCCTCACCCCTCCCATCATGGCAAGAACACCTTTTTGTGTTAATGAATCAGAATAACGCCTCATGCCAATGCCATTTCTCGTGAATATATCAGTAGCATCAGCACCCAAGCCACGCTATGTATATATCAACATGTATGTCAAACAGTTTGTGTTGCGGCCAGGATCAAGCGTAGTAAAAAACAAACTAATTCTTTTTGCTCTCCTTGTAATTATAATGATTGGTTGCGGCCGCTCTTTTCACACTAAGCATATATATGGATGCTGCTGTAGGTGGGGCTGGCCGATGCGGTTTGGCAAGCGATCGAGCGGCATTTGCATGTGTTTCGCATTGAGAGATCAGGAGAGGGAACACCAGAACAGATCGTGTTTGAATTCCAAGATTTGTTTGTTTGGTTTGTTTGGTTTGTTTGCTATTTGTTTGTTTTGTTTGTTTTGTTTGTTTGTTTTGTTTTGGTTTTGTTTTGTTTGTTTACAGTGATTTTCCAATTTTCTGCACAGCTCACCCCTGCAGCCTTTGGACGTGAACATCTTCTCTCGGAACGCTGGCTTCTTGGCAGTTCCAGCAAGGGCGCCGATGGGATTTGGCACAATGTGCTGGAGGTGCAGCCTGGGAAGCAGGAACTGTTCATGGCCAGGATCCTCTTCCTCCACAAGCTTGCTGTTGGTAGAGTGTCTGTCCAAGCCACATCTGCATTGCGGCTTTCCAGTGAGGCGTGGGAGACCGAAGTGGAGCTGGCTTGCTTGGGCTACCATTGTTTGGAGGCAATGCGCAACGCCAAGGATTCCAATGGAGATGCCCTCTTTGCCCAGGACCTTCTCGACGCTTGCAGGGGTCGCTACCTCGAAGGGTTTTGTCTTAATTTCAATATTTGGAACTCTGCGGCTTACCTTCGGTGAGAATGATGTTGATCCGGGGCCAACAAAATTTCAGCTCCATTCAGCACCACCTCCAAACTTGAAATTTTGTGTTTTTCCAACCACGTCTACATTTTTTGCCGGGTGCTTCTCATTCGAAGCTCAGGGATTTCACCAGTGACCTCTCGACCCATTTGGCTTCGGCGGATCCTTCTTTTGAGGCATCGGCGACCCTCATGTGGATTGAAAACAGCCCTGAGAAAAAGCAGGCGGACACCGCTTTGGGGGCAGCTGACCAGAAGATTGCCGACTTGGGGACGGAGCGGTCTGATGCAGCATGGCAGGCTGACAATTTGAAGTTGGCGAAGGATGCTGCAATGTGTGCCAAGTTGCTTCAGGCTGCCTCCTCCAATGAAAAGACCGACCGCCTTGCGAAGATCACTCACATCAAGGAACAGAACCGCATCGGCGCTTCCATCATCACAAAGTTCTCGCAGAAACATTGTCGTCATGTTGCTCTGGCTTCTGGGGATGCGGAAGGACACCTCTCCGAGGCCTGTCGTTTGAAAAACGGTCCTTGGAGACTTGACTTGTCCAGCGGTTGGTTACTAAAACCTAGACTTCACACACCAACGATGTGAAAAAAACCATGCTCGCAGTTTCTGACCAGCGTGTTCTCGAGCGGCGGTGTGGTCCTGATTTGGGTTGACATGATGAAAATGGGACGGATCCAGAACAAACAGCTGGATGATGTGGTGACTCGCATCAAAAAGTTGCTGGCCCGCAAATCCTCTCACACCATGGCTTTTGTGCTTTCGCCGCTCCTAGCATCGGCAAAGACTTTGAATTCCGCATTGCGAGGAGAGACGAGGCCAAGGTTTGAAAGCATTTTTTTAGTTTTATCGAGCGACCTTCACCATCGATTCTGACACTATTAGACATCATTAGACTTTGTGTCTGATATTCAATGTGGCAGTATCATTTGACAGTTAACCTGAAATACATTCCGATATATTTTTTATTTCTGGCATATGATCTCAGCCATTTTGTGAGGAATTTGATCTGAGCATACTATATCTGACATTTTATTTGACATGCTATGTGGCATTCTACCGGAAATATTGAAATATATTCCATCTGGCATCTACCTGACATTTCACCTGGCATTCTATCTGGCATAGTGTTCGGGTCCGAGGAGCTTTTCAGAAACCCTGGGAGCTTAGCAATATTGGTAAGCCTGGCTGGAAGGAGCTGGCCAGCTTGTGTCAGAGCGGCTGTGTAGCAGATGCTGGCAAGGAAGCTCGCAATGATCTGCTTGCGAGGAAACTAGCTTGTAAAACAGAGGAGGACGAGGAGGAAGTAAGGACCGGAGCAGGAGAAGGAGGAGGAGGAAGAAGGAAAAGGAGAAGGAGAAGGAGAAGGAGAAGGAAAAGGAAGAGGAGGAGAAGGAGAAGGAGAAGGAGAAGGAGAAGGAGAAGGAGAAGGAGAAGGAGGAGAAGGAGAAGGAGAAGGAGAAGGAGAAGGAGAAGGAGAAGAAGGAGAAGGAGAAGGAGAGGAAGGAGAAGGAGAAGGAGAAGAAGGAGAAGGAGAAGGAGAAGGAGGAGAAGGAGAATGAGAAGGAGAAGAAGGAGAAGGAGAAGGAGAAGGAGAAGAAGGAGAAGGAGAAGGAGGAGAAGGAGAATGAGAAGGAGAAGAAGGAGAAGGAGAAGGAGAAGAAGGAGAAGGAGAAGGAGAATGAGAAGGAGAAGGAGAAGGAGAAGGAGAGGGAAGGAGTCGCGGGATGCGTTTTTTAAATCTAGAGACCATCGCTTGGCATGTGGGGAAAAGAATTAAATTCTATTAGAACAGGGTTGCACCCTCCTCTTCAGGCGTATTGAAGATAAAATGGACGCCAAGCAGCTGGCATCGTACCCAGTGTCGGTGCGCTTCAACCCTCCTCCCAGCGCAAAGAAAGTTCCCATGCAATACCCAGGTTGGTGCGTGTTTTGCGATGGGTCGGTGGACGACAATGTGTGGTCCTCCTGTCAGCTCATGCTGGACAGGACTGTTTGGCTTCAGTCAGTAAAGGGACCATGAAGCTTCACTTGGCAGCCTAAAGATGTCTAAAGTAGTGAGGCTAGATGCACGTATGTATGTATTTTGATGATATGTTTGGTCTATTGTGATTGTTGTTGTTTGGTTATTGTGCGTTACATACGTGTGAATGCACATGCACATACCCATGTTTACAAATGGTGACTAGATTTTGGAATGTGTATCACTATGTAAAATGTAACTACAAATAGTTGTGGAATGTCCATGATTTCTTTCATTGAAAAATATGTCTATATCATGGGATCGGCTTCATCAGGAGTTTGTCTTTTTTGCAATGCTCTGCAGGACGACACGAGAAAATGCCAGCTTCGCACCTGAGTCGCAATACATTGTCCCCACAACTGGCAAAGACTCGCTTCCCTTGGCTGCTGAATCGAGGTCTCTTGGATCTCATGGTGAAGAAGATGTTTCCGATTTCCATCAATCCAGTTAGCTGCTTTTTTGCAAGTCCAGTAGCTACTTTTATTGCGGACGCCCTGGTTTTACAACAAATCCATCTTGAGGTCGCTCAGTGACGTCCAGGAAAGTGCCCAGATGCTGGCGGGGTCAGAATTTCCAACCATGGTCCTGCAAGCATGCCTGCAAGGTTTGGAAGGCCAATCCAGGACTGTTGGTGTCGTCAACCTCACGCCCTATGACGCCCACTTGGAAAGGGTTTGCCTGCATTGGCAATTGCGTCATGGTTTGGACAGCCCGAAGATCGACACCTTGTCAGTAAGTGATCAGAATGAGGAAGTGCTTTTCAGCGAGCGTTTTCTTGCCCAGCAAATGATGAAGGACTTTCTGAAGCCTAATGACTGGGGAATCATGATTAGCAGTCGTAGCATACCCTCACGAATGTGTTGGAGAACTGTCGTTTTGTTGTTTTTTTCGGTGCAGGAATGGAAAGCTGGCTCGCCGCTTTTCGAGGGCTATCCCAAGTACGCCCCAGACTTTCAGCAGAACACCACAGTCGACTTGAAGGACTATCCCCTTCGGCTTGCCCAGGTGACCCACGATCCATCCAAGAAGGGGGTGAAGCAGTACTCTTTCAGTTTGCCTCCCTCTGTACGTGCTCTCTACAGCCGAGACTCCATCAGAGCAGAAGACTGGAAGCAACTGATCCTAGACTTCGACGCCAAGTCCTTTAGCTGGCACGTGCAAATAACTGTTCATAACCCCTTGGAAAACATGCAATTATGTTTAAGTCAAAGTCAACGTTTCCGATCAATATTTGGGAACCCAGCCCCGGACCAGCTGCATCGATTTTCCTGTCCTGCAACGCCGCTATTGTGTCCTTGCAGGTTCCAGATCTCTGCGGTTGAAGAAGCCGCGCTTGTTCCACTTGTTCCTGTGGAGGATGTGCAGCCTTGGCAGAACGAGCCAAGCTGTCTTGAGGAGATGTTGGACCGTTACATCGTCGAGAACAAGATGCCTGCGTCTGTCGCTGGGGGCATGCTCTACCTCACCAAAGCGGCAACCCGCGCCGGAGAGTTGGTGGATGTGGTCCCAGACCAAAAGCACAAGTTGTTCCTTGCACCTGGGCATTAATTGTTTGTTTTCCCTTCAGGTCGCAGAATTTTCTTTGCTCTCTTTCCTGATGATTTCGCGTTGTTTGTAATAATGTATATATATATATATATGTCTCTCTCAGTATACTCCCAATTTATTTGCATACAGGATATAAGTACCCATAAGGACCCCCAAAAGTAGGAGATCATCATCTATATTCAAAAGTCCGAAGGTCCGTCAGGGTTTGAGAAACCCAAGGTGGCTCACATGGGATTGCGGTGTGATGCGAACGAGACCGTGGTATCACATGGCAAAGCCACATACATGAAGCAGGAGAAGCTAGCCAAACTCCTTCGAGAAGGTACGCTGCCTTGGGCCATCCTTGGACCAACCCAATCCTGTCATTTCATTCCAAACATGAAATTTGAACCTAATGACAAAGGTTTGTAAGAGTTTACGGCAGTTCTGATTTTGGGACAGATTGTCATCCAGCGCCATCTTGTGAAGTTGAGAACCCGGGACCCACCACTTGCCTCCAAGCTCTTGGGCATCCTTCCAGCCATGGCGCTGGAGAACTTGCTCATGCGCAACGGATTGAAAGCGGACAGGGTTTGACAAAATTATGTGACACAAGGTGTTGTTGCTTCTGCGTGCGTTGAAAGGCTATAGGCCGTCATACTTATAGATTTTGAATAGCAGTATACAAGGTGGAAAATCTAAAATGCATCGGGAAAAAGGCATGTGGCAAAGAATGAGAAGTTTTTTTTTTGCGATGTATAATTCCATGGTCCATGCCGGGACTTAGACAAGCTCTTGGGAGACAGCCCCGGCAACCTCGAGACTCCTCCTGTCCGACCGGGCAGGTCACTTTGCCGCAGCAGTTCCTCAGCTTGCTTGCCTCCTCCGGATCTCTCGCCTTTGCCTCTCAACTCCTCGAACAAGGGCAACCCACCTTTGAACGAAGATTGCAAAAAGGCCTTGGCCGATGACTTGGAGAAGGCCCGCGACAAGCTCAAGGGTGACAAGAGTGCAGCCAAAGAGGCAGTGAAGTCTCTCCGTGCAGGACTCAGCAAATCAGGAAAGACTGCAGCAAAGGATGACGAAGCTGGTCGTGGACGAGGGCGCGGCCGAGGCAAAGGCCGCGGCCGCGGACGTGCCTCTGCGTCCAAGGCAAAGAAGGAGTATGACGATGAGTTGTCCGAGGCTTCTGCAATCAGTTCAGAAACCAAGAAGCTTCATGGGGAAGTGGCCCACATCCAGGATGTGGAGGACTTGGGTGAAGGAGAAGGCAATGAGTCTGAGTTGGGCTCCGGCGAAGAGGCGGAAATGGGTGAAGATTCATTCTCCGATGCTCCGACAGAAATCATGGGCTATCCGACGCCAAGGCCAAAGGCAGCCGCGTCGAAGCCCAAGGCCAAGAAGCCTGGGAAGACTGCCGCCGAGAAGGCGAAGGCCGCAGCTGCTGCCAAAAAGAAGGCCACCAGGAAAGCTGCTCACAAGGCTCGCATTGAGAAGATCAATGCGAAGGCAGCAGCTACAAGTGCAGCTTTGAAGGAGAAGTATGAGAAGAAAGGCAAGACGAAGAAGACCAGAAAGCAGGAAGACAAGCAGGATAAGGATCCGGCGGAGGACAAGAAGGCCAGCTTGAACCCCTGGGGTGCCAACTTGCGAGAAGAGATGCACAAATATGTGAAGAAGGAATCCCAACGGTTGGTTGGCGAGGGAATGGAGAAGAGGGCCGCTCGCACTGCTGCTATGAAGTCGTGCTTTGGTTGCGATTGGGGTTCAGCTTGTTTTTCCAAGTTTCGTTCTTAAGACAACATGTTTTGTTAGGAACACTTGACACGCCTCGTTTTCCAACTGTTCGCTCTAAGTAATCTCCAACCTCTTCCATCCATTATTGCGCTGCCTCAGTCTAACATCAGCCAACTTCTTCAGGTGGAAGTCCCACCCGATCCGCACGGATGCTTACAACAAGATGAGCAAGTCTGACAGGGCCAGACGCCGAATGAAACTTTGAGTTTGTTTTGACACACACTGCTGAGCTTTGGTGAGGGTTGGGTTTTGGCAGTCACCAAAAGTCATGATAGATTTCTGTGCCGTCAAGCTGTCTGCTTTGTTGTCAGCTCTCACCCTAGTGGGGACCGCAGTGTTTTAGCAATATGAGTTGCGACTTTTGGTCAAACATGCGAACTATGTGAGACCATGTGAAACCAGTGCTGCTGCATATGAACGCCAGAGTTTGATTTCAAACTCGGGTCTTAGACGAGTTGTTTTGGGATGCGCGGGTGAAAACAACCTGCTATTGTTTGTCCGTATAGGGCCTTGCAGTTTTAGCCAAGGCGATGGCCAACTTCCCTGAATCTCATCCAAATATATACTCCAAAATCGTTTACTAAGAGCAAATAACCAAGCACCCTGGCTCCATGTGTCTTGCAGGTGGAACCCTCGAGAACACATGCAACTTTGAGCTGCGCACTGATTTGGAGACAGCCATCCTAGAGATCAGCGCTGAAGGTAGCAAGACGATGAAGGACGCCGAACCAACTTCCCTGCGAGCACTGCTGCAGGAGCTTGAAGAATCGGGAATTGTTGATGCCACAGTTTGCTGTCACCAAGTCTCTCGGGTTTCTCCGACCCTGGACTCCGACGAAACTGAAGGTGGCTTGGATCATATTTTCAAAATGTTTGGTCAAGCCTCTCCTCCTTTTTTCCCTGTTTTGATTGGGACAGCGTACCTCCACTTTCTTTGGATTATAAGGTACTGAGAGCTGCGATGGCTACATGGTCAAGCCCAAGGAGAAGAAGGTCACCTTGCAATGGACCGCAATGAGTGGAAACCTGAAGAGCAGCAACGTGGCCAGCTGCTTTCCAAATGAGGCTTTCAAACGATCACATGGGATGGCATGGGCCTGTTTCAAAATGTACTATTCATCAAGACATGCCCATTCAGTTTTTTTTCAATCGGAAAACGAGTTTGCAGTTGGATCCAAGGATTAGGTTAATTTGTGTGCGTGTACCTATTCGTGGCAGTCTAAGCTAAATAGCTGGAACAAGGAACAGCGGCATGGGAATATATAATGAAGTAGCAGCACAGAGCAGAAGCCGGATTTTGCTAGCAAGATCCAAATCCAACGATTGAAAGTAGGTACAACGTTTTTTTGATGTTTGAGTCTGCAGGTGCTGACCGCCAGCCGCACCCTCTACCGTGCGTGGAGGGTTGGGTACGTGCAGGCAGACAATGAGTTGGCCCCTAGGAAGCCGTTGTACCTTTGGCGTGACCATTTCAAGAACCAAGAGATGGCCCAGAACTCTTGCATCAGACTCTTTTGATCTGATTTTTTTCCAGGGCCACCAGTTTGACTTTCAAAGGTGATGGTACCAAACCATCACAAATCTTGATGATGTGACGATTCATGACTCATGGCAAGTGTGACCTTCGACGCCTGGGGTGGCCAACGGGTTGCAAAAAAGAGGCCGCTGTATCTGTGAGGCCGTGCTGATTGAGCCATCGTGGAAGCTGGGGGCGCCAATCCCCCACCAACTCTTGTCAACAGGTTTGCCTTTTTTTCCACATGGATCCTTTAAAACCGGATATGAGATTCAACACTGCACCCCAAATACATTACCCCCAAATGCAATGAAATCAACCCCGAATGAAATGAAATCTCCTTTATAGTATATCATAATCTGATTTGAGCATACATTACATCTTTATCACAATACATCACAATAATATGTGTGCATGAGATCGTAGCTGTTTTCATTAAAGAGCCCCGGGATACTCCTCAAAGAGCTACTCCTAAAAGTTGCTATCCTTGCAAAAAAAACTGAAAACTTATGAAAATTTCTCAAAAATTCAAAAAAATATCAAACAACAACTGAAAAAAACAATCCACACATTCAAAAAGGAATTAAAAAAAAAAAAACGCAAAAAGAACAGGAACAAACGGAACAAATCCCACAATCACAAACAAAAATTAAAATATTAAAAAAACAACGAAAAAAATGAACGAACAAAATCGAAAAACATAATAATAATAACAAAAAAAACAAAACACAAATCAACAAAAAAACAGGGAAAAAACATATAAAAAAGCAAGAAAAAAAGAAAAAACAAAAACAAATCGTTTTTTCTTAAAGATAACAACAAATCATGAAATCAGCATGTGAAAAAAACATTTAAAAGACATGAACGAAAAAGATTTTTTGGAATGAATAATATTTTTTTGGAATGAACTTGCATTATTTGGAATGAAATTGAAATATTTCGAATTAAAATTAATAAAAAGGAATGTTCCAGGAGTGTCCCTATGAGGAATGTTTGCAATTTATATCAGAACTGGGTATGCCACCCAGGGGTCTGACCCAGGTAATGTACCCCCGCGAAGTACAATTTCACAAATTGATACAAATTGGCTATCAAACGTCCGAGTAGCAGTAAGGCTACAATGTAGGGCCCCCAAATGATAGCGTTCAGTTGGTGAACATAACTAGGTGAATTCTTTGGTTTATGGTAGATATAACTATATTCATGGGGTTTATAAACCAACAAACACAACTCGGCTGCACCACCTTGTAGCAATATAAGTAGAACAAAAACTGTGAACATCTCTGTTGGTACATGGACCAGGTGGAAGGAGCCTACAGGCCTGTAAGTTTTTGTCACATGGTCTGGCCTGAAGTTTTGCCAAAAACATGCCAGCAACATACCCTTTGGTAATAGAACAAATTGCTTTGGAAAATGATGGAAAATGGCCCATTTGCAGAGATTTACCTGTTCAAAATGGTGGGGTTCCATAGCTAAGTGAGATTTCCAAGCAACATCGTCGGTTCTTAAAAACTGGGATTTCTGTTGGTCCCAGCTGTTGGCACAATCCAGAATCCCCTCTAAGGATGGTGCCCGACATTGGCCAGAATCCGACATTGGCATGATGACCATACCCCGTCAGTTGAATTTAACTGAGCACAACTGGTTGGTGGTATACCTACCCCTCTGAAAAATATGAAAGTCAGTTGGGATTATTATTCCCAATATATGGAAAAATAAAATTCATGTTCCAAACCACCAACCAGACCACATGTTGAGTGGTGGTTTACTTTGTTGTTTATTGCTTTGGTTTGTGCAAGAAAAATACCCACGTGGGTCATGTATCATTCATCAACATTGGGCTATGATCCATAAGAGTTGTGTTTGATGATGGAAACCCAAAATGTTTCATGGGTCAATCCTCTCTGGTTGGTGGTATACCTAGCCCTCTGAAGAATATGAGTTCGTCAGTTGGGATTATTATTCCCAACTGAATGGAAAAATATGACAGTCAGTTGGGATGATTATTCCCAATATATATAATATAATATATATATATATATATGTATATATATATATGTATGTATATATATATTATATATATATACATATATATTGTATATATACATATATATTGTATATATACATATATATTGTATATATGGACAGTCATAAAATTTATGTTCCAAACCACCAACCAATTCCTATCTTTCTTGCAGCCTCGTCTGGGGGAAACCACCATCGAACTGGTGAGGCCCCATTTGTGGGGTCAGTTGGTTGTGCTCACGCTGTCCCAATCCGGATTGGGTTAATATGGTTTAATGGGATTTAATGGTGATTATAGGGGTTCAATCAACCAAAAAACAGGGATGTTAGTGGATTACCTGGCTTATCATACTCCCCAACAGCCCTTTTTTCTCAGCCATCCAAATTTACCATGATGAATAATACATAGATGGCTAACTAATGGTTAATGATTAATGGTTACCCTCTGGTAAACTGCCACATAACTATGGAAAATCACCATTTTGAACGGGAAAATCAACTCTTTCTATGGCAATTTTCAATAGCAAACTGTTTGTTTACCAGAGGGCAAACCCCAATAACCCTTGGTTCTTCATAACCAAGAAAAAACATTATTTATCAGTTATATATATATATCACATCATATTCCCAGATTTCTCTTGGTGAAATCCGCTTGTTTGATTCTCAAATATCCACTAACTAACCAATCAACCAGAGTATTTTCAATGGGTTATGTTACATTACCAGAGAGTATAAACCCCATATTTCCCACTAAAACCTCCATTTATAGATGATTTCCTCATATTTTCCCTTATTTTCCAATGTGTTCATGGCTCAAATGCGGATCTCGCCAAGGCGCTGTGGCCGCTGCACCCGCAAGGGCCCGAAGGTTGTTGGTCCAGGCGGAAAACTCGCCTGTGATCAGTCGCCGTGTTGGTGTAAACAGCTTGTTTATACCCTCCAGTAAATTAACATAGACCCTGCCAGATAGGGGTTGGAAGATTAGTTTCCATTAAAAAATGGGATTTTCAGGGTCTATGTTTATTTACCATATCATACCTACAGTAATCTGGTTGGTGGTTTCAACCCCTCTGACCCTCTGAAAAATATGAAAGTCAGATTGGATCATCATCCCAACTATTGGGCCATTGGAAAAAATAATTAAAATGTTCACAACCACCAACCAGTAATGGTGATTTGCTCGTGGGTGGTGCAATAACCATCTTGAAAAATACTGTATGAGTTCGTGAATGGGAAGGATGACATCCCATATATTATGGAAAATAAAACATGTTTGAAACCCCCAACCAGTGTTTACACCAAAAATAACATGGTTAGTATACTGATGACACAATCCGACTTGATGATACACCAGCAAAATGCAATTTGATGATGGTATACTGATGGTGTAATGATGCTACAATGTGTGTATAATGATGATGTTATAATGATGTACACAGGTATAGAAAGAGGCAATTAGTCACAGCAAAAAATGATGGTATGGAGATGTAACAGGATAGAATGGGAATCGTGTGACGCCGTGATGTCACTGGAACAACTGGAACAATGCTACACTCTGGTTATTTGTTACAGTTTGCGAACATGGACCATAGAAATAGGTGATTTTCCCAGCTAGAAAATGCTGATGTTCCATAGTTATGTGGCAACAATGGTTTATATAATGGAAATCATCCCCGGATATATTTCAAGTCAGTGAATCTGAATTATTCCACTGAATCCAGATGGGAGGACGAAGTGGCGGAGCTGAGTTTTCACTTCTTTTCACCAACAAAACGTGGATTTTATGTTACAAAAATGGGAGTGACAACTCAACAAAAACGGTTTTTGAACTTCCAAGTCGGAACAAGATGGGCTTTGGAAAAACAAAAATCATCCAACACATTTAATCCAGATGAAAAGCATTCCAAGTCGGAAGCACATTGTTGTTGGAAAAAAATGTTTTAAACCTGTTGTAGCCTCTATATGGATGAGACCCCACTAAAACCCTCCCTCCAACCTTTCAGGGCTTAGGATTTATACAAAACGACAAGTCATGCTCAACAAATTAGGTCCATGTCACCAATGAACATATATGATCCTGGTCCCCGGTCCCGTAGCCCCCCCCCAATGGTATGATCCCCTACTCCCCGACCTAGAATCCCTATCATTTCCATGGTATTTACAGCATTTTGGATGCAAAACCTCATATTTCCATATATGAACATGTTGAATATGAACATGTTGAATGGGACATACCAATTATATTACAATATGGATATAGGTCAAGATTGGGTACCTTTATAATAAGATGGTTAATACCAAAGTATATACTAAAATCTATGGTCCCTTCTGGGGTTTACATTCTGACTCATCCCCATAATGGTCATAAACATTGAATTGGGGCATACCAATTGTATCCAATTGTCTAATATCTTCACAATTATTTGAGGTTCAATTTACCAAACTTATCCAAAATTGGATACATATATCTGGTAAAAATCTATGATTGATTAATGTTTGTATATTGTCATATCTTCACTGTTTTAATCATAATTATTAATACTAAGTTATGTATACTAATAATAAACAATTGATATATATATATACTGGTTGGTGGCTTTAACCATCTTGAAAAATATTAGTCAATGGGAAGGATTATCCCATA